TGGTGGGTGGTACCCATCATCACCGGTGATATTCAACACCCATCACTCCTGCTGTTCTTGGCTCTAATAGGTGACGACCAGAAGAGAGTAATGACGATGAGGAGCTCGCCAGAGGAGACCCGTAGAACTACTCTTTTTAATTTTCGACCTAATTAAACACCTCCAAAACAGAAAAACAACGGAATAAGGAACTACATATATCTGTTTAGGACCGAACCCATCATCGGGACCATCCCGTTGGAACTGTTCATGTCACCGGCCACCATGGCAGGTGTTGACTGTTCTTGGAGATTTTTGAATGAGTTCTGAACAGAAAAGAAAAGGGGTTACCTAAGATTGATGGAGGAGTAAGGAAAAATGATTGGAAGCTACTTGAAGGTCGAAAAGAGATGAAGACAGGAGGGAAAATGGTGATTCTCGCCGGTTCTTCTTCTCCGGTGAACAGTGCTGATGGCCCTCTTTGTGGTCGGAGGCTTGCTTCAACTGGCCATGGCGGTGGTTTGGTGGTGATTGGATCAGTCTGCAATCAAAATAAAATGAAGACGAGAGGCTAGGCTGAAGAAGGCAACATCTTTGGTTGTTGCTGGGTTTTTTTGGAGAGAGAGAGAGAGAGAGAGAGAGAGAGAGAGAGAGAGAGAGAGATGGCCCCAATTTTTGTTTATATGACCTCTAAACCGGCTAAAACAAGTAAAGGGGACTAAAAGAACAGGTTGCCCACAACTTGGTTTCCTCATAAAGCCACGAAAAAACTTAAGTGATTAAAAGGGTCAACCCTAGAAACTTCATAGGGCGTATGTGTCATTTTCCCTTTATTTTTGTTTCCTTGCATTACATGCGTTATATATTAATGTACGTGCAGTTTTTTTCTTATTAAGATTATATATTTTGAAAGAAGTACTCTAAGTATGCCATGGGCTTGTAAAATGATTTCCGTACTAGCATATTTTATCCTAATTTCTATCTACATTATGTTCATATATACAATTGAGTAAATTTTTCAAAACAACAATGATATAATATTGAAGCTATAATTAATAAATAAATCAGGAAAAATAGGTTGTTGTTATCTAATGCATCTAATCTTAATTAAATAGATATATACTTGAGCAATATATAAGAAATTTGTACCAGTCCCAATGTGTCCACCAGTGACATGAACACCGTTTGAATCAGATATGTCAATGCCGTCCGTGTTAGGACTCTCTTTGGGCGCGGTTATGCTGATGTTGGAGATGATGGCTCCATTGCAAGCATTTATAGATATATGATTTTTGGGGCTATTGATAGAGGTTACACTCGTGAGGTGAAGGCCATTGCAATGGTGAAATCCCAGAGCCTAAAAGAAAAAACATAAACCCATTATATGTGATAAAATATAATTTAATTTGTTTGGATGTTGCCAAAGTGGAATATCACTTACCGTGGGGTTATTTTCACAAGTGCTAGTCTGAAATACATAAACAAACAGTCAGTAGTTAAAAAGGTTTAGAACATAAGAAATAGGGGTCAGTTATAATCATTTTTTACTTGTTTCTTTACATTTTCCTTTATTGTTATTACAATACTCCGGTATGACAAATCTATGAAAATATAAGCTGGTACGTAATCTGAATGAAAAACAGTTTCCACGATTATATATAATTGGATTGATTTGTTAAAGTATTTTGTTGTAATAAAAATAAGATCCATGCATATATCTAAATAATAAACAATTGAATGAAAATATATTGTTGTTTTTTGCGTTGTAATATATAATTAAAAAGATGTCATGACCTGTTTGCAAGAGTCCCACCAACCAGACTGCCCTTGACCATCAAATCGTCCAGGTCCAGTTATAACAAGATTATCAATGTGTTGAAAGTTAAGCCAAGTATCGGTGTTATTAATCCACTTGTTCTTCGGTGGTGCTAGAAGAGTCCCTTCGACCTGCAAACATATAATAATTTAGGTTCCCATGAATTCTATAGTAACAAATTGATTAATATTCATTAATTACACTTACAGTGACGACAACAGTTGGAGCTTTGCATGGACCCGAGAAAGACAATGGTTGAACAACAAAGTTTCCAGCTGATAATTTAAATTGTCCAGTCGAACTACATGCTGCATCCCATGCCTTGTTAACTGCCTACAAGATCATGACATACGTACGTACGTACCTTATATAAAATTTATAAAAAGTAAAATGCCTCAAAATCGCACGTGTATATATATACAAGTTGTAGTTTACCAAAGAATTATCCGTGATGCCATCTCCTACAGCTCCAAAGCTCTTAACATCAGTTTCCAGACTAACTACATTTTGAGGTTGAATGATGCATCCAACGATCATGAGACTGCATCTAATCACATTAAGCATCGTACCAATAGCCTGCATTGACAAATAATAATAATAATAATAATAATAATAATAATAATAATAACAGAAGTTGTTAACTATTTTACTCAAGTTTTGGCATAATAGGATGGACTGATCATTCAGTTTTACTGTACTTACCATGACTATACGGAGATAATCAAGATGAAAAGCTCTGAATAAATTAAAATGATACGAATTGGCTCATGCATTTATACATGTGGTTCGAAGAGAAGATAAGATGATAAATGAGGTTAAATTTGTTAATGATTTATTAAATCTTGAATAAAGAATTAATAATATGCACATCAGTCATGAGATCTAGTTTCCTACACACATATATTGTGGAATTAATGAAACAAAACGGATAAGATTTTGAGATACTAACCTAAAAAAACCTAAAAGAAATTTTACGACACAATTGTATTTAACTATTTATTTTTAGTATGCCAAAGAGTTTACAATGAATTGGATAAAGTGAAATGAAAAATATCTTTTACAGATCAGGACAACGGAAATATTAGAACTATGCCTTTTTATATTAATTATCTGTTTGGGTAACAATGAAATTAATTGCAAATGAAATTTATATTTTGTTTATTTAAATAAAGCTTGATTTTCAATTTTGGTGTACAAAATATTGATTCAATTTAACTAAAATTTGATAATAGGTAACACGCTAATTGGATAAGGTTTATATCGGGTAAATCTTGTTTAAACAAAATGGATTTCATAAAAAAAAATCATAATAGTTTCATATATTTATTGTATAAAACAATTTTTTATTTACCAAAATAAACCAAGAACCGCTAACATCTTCGAACCCAACATTAGAGTTTAAATTAATTACCTCTCTACCTCATAAATCATGAATTGTTGATGAATCTAAATGATTCTTAGTTATATGTTTTTGGTTTAAGTGAATTATTCTAAAATTGGAGCTCATTTAAATGAACTGAACTTCAATTCCTATGAATCTATCATTTGAGCATGTAAATCTCAATTTGGTCATTAGGTTTGTATTTTATAGTAATTTGAAGTTAAATTGTTTAGATTTCGGGTGAATTAACGAAGATTATTTCCTCTAGGGTCATTCATGGTGTTATATTATCTTCTCTAATAAACATAAACTAGACGTACATTCATCATTAGACTTTAAGTCAAATGATTTCATAATCTCGTGTGTTTGGGAGGAATAGAATAGCGATCGACACTTCCATATAAGGGCTATCAACGACGGAATTGCCAGTAGAAAAAACCGTTCTCCTTAATTGTTATCGACGGATTCAGTAAGGGATTAATCAAAAGATTAGCGATTACACAAATTACTCATAGAACCTCACGATTCCGTTTGTTAATCCATGGCCGATGTCTGTTGCTAATCTCTCGGCGGTTATTAGCAAATGAACATTTTTTTTAACAACGGTCTAGCAGGTTTCGAATATGTCGCTATTCGATAACAAGAATTCAAACTGTTAACATACGCCTACCAAAAAAAAATATTAATATTTTATTAGCAAAATATAAATTCATGTTCAACTTCAAAGTATCTCAAGCAAATCACAAAATAATAATAATAATAATAATAATAAAATAAAAACCAATAATGTTAGAGTATAGTTAGGCGGGTAATCTAGGCAATTTCTTGTTTCTTTTTTTTTTTTAATCTAAAATTCTTCATGTTACTTCTTAACCTCCTCCTTCTGACTTATCAGACTTACGATCAACAACAACCTACAGAGGAACAATTACGAAGTTTATAGACATTAAACATCGAAATTGTAGTGCCTCACTAAGATGCTCGAAGTAACAAATAAATTGAATCATGAGGGACTGTACTCTTGAGGGTTGGGAGAGAATTGATCGGAATTGGCAAGGAATGAATGATGGGGAGCTTGTTATTTATAGGGAGAGAGAATTGATCTGAATTGAGAATGATCCAAATAATTAATATTGATCTGAGAAATTAATTCAACTTATTAATTTGGCAATTAAGATCTATTTGAGTAATTAATAATGATCTGAGTGATTGATTGAAGTATTTGCTTAAAGGTAATAGATCTTCATTAGAGTGATTGATATCGAATAGATTAAGTAACACGAGTGACTGATTTAAGTGATCCGAGTAACTGAATTGAGCGATTTATATTTATATGCGTAATTGATCATTGATCTATATAATCGAGAGATTGATTTGAGAAATTGATCGGAATAATTTAAGTTAATGATTTAAGTGATATGAGTGACTCATAGATATTGAGTAAACTAATCACAATGCGAGTACCACGGAGAGTAATGTGATTGAGTTGATTTAAGTAATTTGTGAATTCGTGAAATTTTAGATAAACGAGTAATGACATTCGAGATATGATTCACTGTGGACCGACTTGAGAATGAGTATTTTACAAGGATTTAGTCCATATTGATAATAATAATAATAATAATAATAATAATAATGATAAAGATAAGGATTATGATTACTATGAGAAATTACACTTGTGACTTGAGAATGAGTTGTAAATCTAGTGCGAAACAAATCATGAGTAAGATGACTTATAACCCTCCTTAAGAAGGATATGATGAGATATATGATATACAAAGAGTTAGTATATCATGTATTAGTAGTACGAGACATCAAGAGATTCCAGGGACGTAATCTTTTAAAGGGGGGGGGGGGGTGGGGGGAGACTTGTAACACCTGGTTTTAGCAGGGTCGGCTCTAGCTTTTATAAAACTAAGCAAGGGCTTAGGGCCCCCAATTCTAAATGGCCCCCAATTTTAAAACTTATTTTATTAATTATATATGTATATATACGTATTTCTTGGGTTACAAAGACAATTTGGAGCTTGGCCTGGTGGTAAAAGCGCTAGTTTATCAAACTAAGGGTCTTAGGTTCGAATCTGTTTACTTACCCGAAGGCCCCCAATTTTTTTGTTTGCTTAGAGCCCCCAAATTGGTTTAGTCGTCCCTGGGTTTGGTTTTAGTAACAGGTATTATTTACGAGATATGATATTTATGAGAAGAATAGATGAAATAAAGCCTTGAGTTTCACTAATTTGATAAATGCTATTTAACAAAAGGTAGCTAAGGAATGTTGTAGATAGAATTTTGTAGATATAAAGATCGTCGAAAACGGAGTTCGTATGAGAACATTGTGACTTTATGAAGTTTAGATGAAAGTACGTTTCCATTTTGAAGAAAGTCAACGGAAGTCAAGATAGCAGTCAACTTTTGAACCTTACGACGTGAGAGAATGTATGTCACGACTTGACAGTAATCGTGTCACAACGAGAGAAGCGATGAGTCACCGGAACGTTTGAGATTCATACATGTCAAAACGAGAGACTACTGATCCTCAAGACATGAGACATGCATGGTCATAACGTGAGATGGGTCAGATCAAGGAGAAACGTCGCAAATAAGTGGTCACGACATGAGGAGATTCTGGCTATAAATACATTACCTCTTGTGTCATTTGAGAGAGCTTTGGCACGTAGGATTAAAAATGCTTCCTAAGAGTTGTTTGTGGGAGACTTTTATCCGTTGGTAATACGAGTAATACGAGGTCCAAGTTACGAGATACATCGAGGTATCTTTTATCCGTTAAATTTTATTTACGATATGTGATAATTATTTGGATTTGATAGACCCAGGTATAGTACTAGTTTTCATGATAAGACATTGTTACTAACCCGTTGGTAAGACTATGAGTAACTCTTATGATTATGGATTTAGATGGGATAGTCAGGGTTATACAGCCTAATATTCGAGAGTTACCCATTATGAGAGATTTAGCTAACAGCTTATGGGTTAAGCCTATTATGATTATATTATGATGTTTGATTATTATTTGATTAGGTGTTACCATGTAACGAACTGATAGGTTGCGAAGGATGGAAACCAAAACTGGAATTAGTCGGTTGATTGACCACGTCAGTAACACTACTATAACATTCATTGATGTGTTAATTGGAATATACATTATATGGTTTATATATGATTAATTATAAACAAGAAATTTACAAATATTGAAAGATTGACTTTGACTAATAAGATAGATTATAACTGAGAAATATATCATATTAAAAGATAGATCATTTCTAAGTAATTGCTTGTGATTGATTTGTGATATATGTGATAGTTATGATATCTATGATATGCAATACCAAGATTTAATTAATTGGTTATTCATGTGTGTTCCTATTGGCGCCCGATTTACGGGTCAAAAACCACTTTACGATCAAAACCATTTTTAACTTTGGGTAAAACAAATAAACCAATTTGATGGGACTTGGAGATAGTAATTAAATACGTTATTTGAACGATTTTCTTCACACCCCCATCCAATAATCACTTTATTAAAGATTAAATCATTTTAACATCTTTACTCCTTCTAGTTAAAAAAAATATTTTAAATTTTGATACTTTTCTATTTTAAAAAATTACTTTCAATCTTTATTACTTCAATTTAGTAATTTAGTATATATTGATATTTCAATTTTGTCATATATATATATATATATATATATATTATATATATATATATATATATATATATATATATATGCGAAAACATAAATATTTTGTGAAAATGCGAAAACATATTTTATCTTATAAAAATCAAACACATGTACTTTAGAAATTAAATTTATTAGCAATAAATTAAAGATAATAAATTTATATTGGAGGGTGTTATAATAATATAGATTTAAAGGTGGTTTTAACAACCATTTTTTTCACGTCCATAACCACTATTAAATTCAAGTTTTCATAATAAAAATGTTAAAAAACATGTTTTGCTAATGTGAAACAATTTATCATGTACCATTGATTATCATCATGTTGTTCAAAAGTTTGGATGGTTTCTTGTCCAAAATAAAAGGTGGAGTTGCCACAATCTCATAGGTTTTCCTTGTTTTCGTATTTTCGCAAATTATTTGCATTTTCGCATGAACCTTATATTTAAATTAATAATTTAAGTATTTTGTCCAAACTATTCAAAAGTTGTAGCTTTAAACTAATAATGGTTTACATACAACAACATTTTAAATCTAATAATTAAGTATAATATGTTAAAAGTTAAAGACATAAGAGTTTCAAACTAATCATGGGAGTTTAAATAGAATGTGGTGAAAGGAAAAAT